ATATTTTAACAAAAATGAATCCTCTTACATAACAGGATGTAAATTTTAATAAGCTAACAAGAAACTTAGGAAGCTTACCACTGAACGAAATTGGATTATCTCCTTCCATTCTGTTAGTTGATAATAAAAATTGTATTACTTGATCGTAGCCATTTTGTTCTACAACTTATTTTGTTAACGTAATTGGCCCTATTTATGCAAAGAAAGAGTAATATAGCCTCGGCTACTACATTATTGCAAATTTTCTTGCTGTTATCTTTACTCACAGTTAATTTGTTATTACACCTTTTATAGTGCTATGACTGGTGAAGCATTACTACAAATAAATCTTATTAATAAAGTATGGCTTTATAATTTAAGAATCAAATTTTCTACTTACAGTGACAGGTGCTTACTAGTAAATCACTGCTGACATTACTTTTTATTGATGATATTAGTGTCGCACACCGTTAGAAAAAATGTATTGCTTACATAAAACCCTCCAAGCTATTACAACTGCAGCTGGCAGCAATCGAGGTTTCGACATATTTACGTATTAGCTAAATATCTTGTGACTTAGTAATATTAATTACTACTCTCTTTTATACTTTAGCGTTAACCACTGACGATTTGCTTCCTATCCTTGTAGCAGTTATGCTGAAGGCTGAAATACCGAATTGGTAATTTTGTAATATTCCAGCTGTAAGCTGGGAGACCCTGCTAATTAGTAATAACTAATCAACATAAATTTATATCCATAGGATTGCCACTATCATTTATATTAAAAATTTTCACTTTTCAAATGCTATGGCAGTGGCTGACGAATTTGCGTAAGAAATAAAAATTATATGTATTCTTTTTACATTGTTATTGTATATTGAACAATTAATAGCGATATTGTTATTTAAGATCAAATATAATGCAATTGCCAAAGATTAGCAGTTGAGTTACCAATTGCATCTTATTTTTGGACAAACAGATTTTGCGTAACATCTATTGAGGCAGCTATGGAACATATCCAAGGAGAATCTATCCGGACCAATCCTACCTGCAGTAATAATCTTGTACGTAACTATATCGCTTTCCGCTTGAATTATTGCTTGTATTCGATAATTTAATTATACGATTAATAAAACCGAAAAGGAGCCACCGAAACTAACTAGACTAAATTCAGATAGCAAGAGAGCTTTTGCAACCGATGAGGCACTCTTCGAGGTACGGATCAGTTTATTGCTAGTTGTCAAACTTGCTAAAGCAAATACTGTATTTAATTATATAATCCCTTCAAAATTATATAAAAAAGACTGTCCAATGTGGAGATACAAGTAAAGTTAAAACTTTACTGGAAGGTCCTACAAGTTGGAATATACTAGTAGATAAAATGTGTCACCCACTATGTCAGTGTCCAAAATGTGAAGAGCTACAGAAAAGGTACATTAGACTAAAACACAATGACCACTAAAATTAGAAAGCAAGTAATAATATACGACTAGAGGCACTAAAAAATTTTTTATTATTAAGTTATGATTCAGATCCGTTAGCTGCTACAGTTCACTCACGGGATGATCGTGGTAATACTGTGTTGCACGTAGCATCGGAGAATGGTTAGTATTTTTGGTATTGATTGTCTTTGTTACATTATTCATACAATCAAAGAAATATTATCCAAGAAAGTTGTATCTTTCAATTATGCATTGCTACTTCTTTCGGATAGGTCACGAGGACATGGTAGATCTGCTACTTAGTTTTGGAGCTGAAATTGATTGCACCAATAATAGTGGTTGTACACCACTTCATTTAGCGTGCAAAAGGGATTTTCCGAAGATAGTTGTAAATATTCGATAATGTTGATGAAATTTATAATGATATTGAAATCAAAAGTTTATTGATGAAGTTACTTGTTTATGTTCAGAGGCTTTTATGTGAGAAGGGTGCTAGCATGAATGCTGTTGACAACGATGATTTTACTGCATTACATTTTTGTGCCGAAAATGGCCACGAAGAGGTTAACTTCAGCGTAATACTTACATATACAGTAGTATGCCCTTGAGATCTTACTAGATACACAAGAAAGCGCCTGACATTCAGCAGCTTTCTAAATGTCTTGTAATTAATGACTCAAATTTAATAAATGTAACCTAACAAGTGATTTATATTAGACCGCAAAGGTACTTCTTTTCAACGAATTTAATGGAAAGCGTGCCTCAATTAATACTTCAGATATTAATGGCAATACTCCCTTACATATCGCAGCTAAATGGGGCTATGGTATCTATTTTATATTTTTCAAACATTACATGCTTCGTTTAATGAATCTCAAGTATTTTTAACCGTAATGTACTATACAATTTATCTCTAAATCTTTATACACAATTTATAGCAAACTTAGTTGAACTATTTGTTGAGAATGGAGCTTCTATTGAAGCCAGAAATAATAATATGGAAACAGCATTGGACTGCTCTAATCTATCCAAAGTATTCTTTTATCATATTATTACTACACATGTTGACCTATTAAAGTGATGGATACATGTAAATTCTATTTTAGATTTCCCAGATTATTTCATTAGCAAGATTTGCTCGTAAAAGCTCTAAAGATGTAAGAGTTTTGCTGTTATGATAGTAAATCTTATTATATTGAGATCCTTCCAATAGGTCTAAGTGAATGTAACGATCTCCTCCACTTCATAGGATGTATACAGGTCTTTAGCATCTTCAAATGTAGCATCTGCAATGCCTAGCGTATCTAGCAAGCAAGATTCAGATGATCGTCGTGCTAAACAGGTTTGATACATAGATATACTCTAATTTAAATCCTATTACTACACGTAACAACATTTTTATATTATAGATCAAGCAACTCTTCATGGCTATTGCTGATGACGATATTGAAATGGTAATTACCAATATTCGTCATACTATATATGCATATATAAATTTAGATTAAGATGTTATCTATCTTTAGGTGCGCTTTATTTTCGGTTGGAGTTCTAATACTCCACAGAAAGAAGTCGTAGATAAAAAGAAAGCATGTCATCCACTATGTCAGTGTTCAGAATGTAGTCAAAATAACGTAAGCATGATAGCATAACTTGGAAATATAACCTGTATCAACAATGAATCTACCTTAGAATATCGTTACTACTACTGTACTAGTAGAAGTTTTATGTTCTTTTTTTTCATCCAATCTTTTAGAAATCTAGTAGTGATCGGTCTGTTCTTACAACTACTTCCACCGATGTTAAAGGTTATACGTCTTTGCATATGGCTGCAATTTATGGAAAATCTGAAATTGCTGCTATACTTCTGCGAGAAGGGGGTGCAAATTGTAATGTTAAAACTAAGGTTGAGCTTTTAACTCCCTTGCATCTTGCATGCCAATGGAATCACGTTAATGTAGGTTTCATGTTTCTAATTGGTTTTACAGAAATAAATAAGGACTATTCTGGATACTGTACTATACTTTACCAGAATTACACTTATTCTCTTTCTTTCGGTATCTAGGCAATATCGATCTTATTAGAGCATCAAGCTAGGATAAATGCTAAGAATGTACAAGGGAATACCCCTCTGCACCTTTGCAGTGCAAATGGTCACATCGATGCTTCATTAATTCTTTTAAGCGTGAGTAAAGTTATTGGATACGTACTGAAAAACGTATCAGCTAAACAAATGCTAAATTAACCACCAAAACGTTTTTCTATTTCAATCCAGCATGATGCCTATGTTAATGTCAAGAATTATCAAGGAGATACACCATTACACCTCGCCTCTCGGTACTGGTGATATAGTCCTTGTATATTTATAACCCTGAGATTTACGTCTAGCTAGTAGAAACTGATTCTTATTATTCGCTAAATGAAGGTGGAATCACGCGGCATTGGCAAATCTGCTGCTTGATTACGGCGCATCACCTACTATAAAAAACAACATGCAGCTAACACCTTTGCAATGTGCTAAGGTATAGTTTAATATACTTACACTTAATTGTACTCGTTATTCGTACACAACATAGTCGATATTTTAAAGATTTTGAAATCTAAAGATATACACTGAATGTTGCTGTAACAGAAATTGCATTTGTATGCCTCTTATTGTAGGATAATGAAGTACTACAATCACTAACAAAGGCTAAACCCAAGGAAGTAAACGGAAACGTAGATCGCTTAAAAATTATTGACAGCACTCCAGACGGATAAATTTTATCCCTTGTAGCAAAATGTAAGACTAAAATAATTACAATTAATCACCAAGACAATTGTAACCTAAAGCTTTAAAAGATAAACATTACAATAGATTGAATACAATAGTGAAATTCTCGCTAATTCAATGATGATAAAGTTTAATATGATAAGTACTGCATTGTCCTTAATGAATATTGCATCGTAAAATCACATTTTGTGACGAAATCTATAATACTACATGTCTGTATACATGATGAAAATATTTTGCGTAGATACGATTATATTATTAGCTATAAGCTATAATGTAAAAAACTCACAAGTTTTTTATACTCAAAGGTATTTTGAAATAGCGTACTGTCCGAACTTAGCTCAGTTAAACGACTAAACTTTCACTTTATGTACTTATGATTCTGCTTAAATTTTACTGTATGTAATAAGCAGTATATCATCGTTTACCGGTATTTGAGCTAGAATACTTGCAGTAATATTGAGTTTCCACAAACTACCTTTAGTTGAAATCAATAAAATTTTAAACCAACAATTCTATCAACTGAATATATCAAGTTTAGCAATTGCGATGAGAGCATACATGTACAATGATTTGGTTTCAATTTGAACATATTTATTAACTTTCCATTGCATTATATCACCGTGATATCGATACCAAAATTGTAAAATCATAACATTTAATGCTATAAAATGGTTAACAGGATACGATACCCAGTTGATTTCTAGCTCATATTCATCATTCTAATAAATTCGATTGCATAATTTAAAATTTATCTTTGAGCAATATCTACTGTACAATGTCTGTGTTTACTGATACCACCCGTCCATTTAACTATTTCGTATATTCTTACTACCATTATTTCTTTGAAACGGATATAACTGCTGACGTTTGAGGACTTCCAATGCAGAAGCCACATTACCTACCAATTATAAATTCACGAATAGTCAAACGTTAGGGTAATTTCCTTACGAGAGTAAAGTAATTCAATGTATTTACCATTTGCAAGCTCAATATAGATCGAAATCAGAACAGCTCCAGGTATGTGCTCTTTTTCTAGCCGAAGTACTGATGCCTTAGAAGGCATCACGATCAATGCAATGATTCAATTAGAAACTATTTTGCAGAATGTTATTTCAAAGATCCAAAAGTACCTGTTCTATACACTTCCGGGCTTTCTCTGGCTTTCTCTGCAAGCAATATGCACTGGCTAAATTGACAAACATTAATGCACGAGCAGATTCTATTGTTCTAGGAAATTTGTGTCGTGTTGCTGCTAAGAAAAGGCAATAAATTATTACCAAGTAATCAACATTAACATAGCAATAGTATAAAGTTGACGATGATACCTGAGCTAATGTTATCGGCTTCAGTCTTATTTTCTATAGAATATCCAAAATAGTCATTCATTCATTATTGATATTATGCCAGAACACCGTGTAGAGTTTACTCTGCGAAATGTATACAGAAATGGGCTATTTAGCTATTGAAATAATTTACAATACCTGACGTTGTTTCGGGTTGTGTTGAAAATGAACAAGAGATATCAGTAATTGTTTCCGGCGATAAATGCTGTACTGCCTCATCAATTTTATTCAAACGTATTAACGCTTCTGCTGCGTACATATGACCCAGATATCTAAGCAAAAGTAATAGAACGTTAGGCATTGCCGGTACAACCAATATAACGCCGAGTACACTAAATACCTATATAATCCAGGTAGAGAAGGCAAGGCAAGTAACTCTTTACTACGTTCTAAAGCTAAGACAAGTTCTCCCAATTGCAACGAAACGAATGCAATGGCAGCAAGAATTGCATACCTTTAAACATAAATATGTAACTCAGGTGTTGTGTAATAACGTACTTTGGATACTGTAGTAAGAAAATAAAATTATCCTTTCGTACCTTAGCGCAATGATGTCATGCGCATTCATTCCAGCAGCGGAAGGGGAAAAGTAAACTTTTGCCCTTCTGGTATTATAAATATAGTAAAACAGTAAATGTATTTGAGAACGTCTAGACATCTAACAGAACTTCATAAATATTGATCATAAGTAGCCGAATCGCATTAGATAGGCATCAGAGTTGGTGACACTTACGACCGTGAATTGTCGTTCCTTTGTATCGCTTGATCATTATTATTATAATTTACACTTGATAACAAGAGCAACGCATTTTTTAAACATGGAAGAGCAAATTTCAATGACGGTTCAGGATTAGCAACAGAAATACCATGGGAAGGAGGCCTAAGAAATACATCTCGTATTATAATCTAATCTATAATAATTCCACAGTATGTAATACCCAAATTAAATATCATTTTACTATGTCAACCTACAAATATCTATACGAATAATCTGCAGTAGGTTTTAAGACTGTTTTTTGATGTTGGCCAACTCCTACAACAGTGCTGACTATATAACTCTTATTTTGAGCTTTGGCAGCAATTTCTTCTTCACCCTAATGAATGACAAGCGTTAGTATCAAAGTATACATGTTCAATAACAACGATCTCTAAATAGTTTTCTATCAAAAATTGAACAAAAGTAGTATTGTCGCTTACCATACGGTATGCGCTAATACAGCATTCAGCTATACGAAACCAATATTTTGGATCAGTGTTGAAGGCTTGCATACACTGGATTAAAGCTTCGAATCCCGGAAGAGGCCGATTAGAAAACAGTAATTCAATACCAATATTATACAAAAGTTCATAGTGACGATTTAAAGCTTGGACCGCTGATAGACTATTAATGTTACCTATATAGAGAAACAATAGCAAAAAAGCTAAAATCAGCAAAATAAGTTTATTTTAGGATATGGGGTATGTAAACAGATATTTTAAATACTAACCACTATCATTGGGCTTTTGTATACATTCCTCATTGACATTCATTGCCTTCTTACAGTATAAAGCAGCCAAATTATGCTTCTTCATCTGATGATGAATGCATCCAAGGTTATTATAATACATCACTATTAATTCATTGCTGTCAAGACGCGGTGAACTGTTCAATATTTTGATAGATTTTCGATAATTCTTTCGTAAATATTCAAAATTACTCTTCAGGAAATGGGCTGTTGGTGTCTAATTTAAAAAATTGGGTAAAGCGAACGCAAAAATAAAAAAGACGTTAGACGATTCGAGAAATGATCGCAATTGATATCACACTAATTTGTTAATTGAACTTACAACAGGAGTGGAGCTCATCAGAATTTTAATTTCTCTCTTACATAATTTAAGAGGTCCATTTAAAAGGTGTAATCGGGCCTTATACTATAGCATTAGATTTAAAAATGCTCCAATATCAAAATCTCTGTAATCGCAGTACCAATTAGGTTAATATACTAACTACTATTATAACAAACCTGATTAAACTTCATTTGTAAGCTTTCTGATTGTAAACCGTGCTTTGTTCCACCGCCCACTGTGAAAAAGGTCTGAAACGAAGCAAAAGAAAAATTTTCAACTTAGCTTACAGTATCCTAAACTCTTGCATCATATCCATAACCATCATAATCGGTATAAAGTAAAGCTATTATTACTACAACCTCAGATTTTTCATGATGTTGATTTGTTGATCCTTTTTCGCTAGAGGTAATCATTTTTTCAATATATGCTAGTTTCTCACCGGCCATATTTGCCTGAAAGTCAATGAATACCTTTAAAATTTTTGTTAAAAATTTCAGAAAGAATCTTTCCTTAAATTTAATGTATGCTTAAGTTGATAAGGCGTTGATGTTTGCTCAGTTGCAGTGATAGTAGTTATAAATTATACTCGGATTTTTATTTCATAAATAGGTTCATTTAGTTACAATACTGTCACGAAATACAACCTAAGGATATGTTATACTCGATTGCAGTAAAAAATAGCATATAGCGCATAAAATAATACTTTATATCATACCTGCCGTGTTGCAAAACTTAAGTCTGCAGCAAGAAAACAAATCTTACAGGCTAGATTTTCGTCTAAAATTTTAAAAGTACATTTTACAGTAACGATTAGTATATATATATATATATAAGAGTATATCTGCGTAATTCAAAATTACATGTATATTATTGATTGCTGTAAATAGTAACAGAAATAAATATCTACTGGATGATAGTAGTAATATTGACAAGTATCATGTCTCAAGATAATTGGATCCTTTTATTCATTCATTTACCTAAGGGTTCAATAATTTTGAATAAACCTTCGATAATATCAGAAGCTTTTTCGTATTGTCTAAACTGTTGGATATTAAATATCAAATCATTTAGATTAACGTTAATACAAAAGCAGGTATGAAGAGTTGTTTTACGATAATAATAAAAAAAGCCTCACAAAATAGAGAATTAAAGCTTTATTGTAGTTTAAAGCAGCCTGATCAAATTCATCCACACTATCTTGATCTTCACCATTTTCACCTGAAAACTAAATAACGACAACAAATTACTCCTCAAAAAATGTTCTGGTCCAAGCTAATTATTTAACCGACTATTGTAAAGGTGTCGTTTTGCAGCGAAATATTATCTTACTTAATGTAAGAATTAAGGCTATTGACCTATTATTAACTGTCAAGTTTTACGTCTCTACCCAAGCTATAGTACAGTATCAGATGCCTCGATGATACATTAAAGTTTTATTTTTACTAAAAATCAACGACAAAATCGAAGAGTAATAAGATGATTGATCATATAATCATTCTAGAACCAAAACTGTACTTCAGCTCACGCCGTCAGTACAATTTCATAATTACAATCAATCAACGACTAAAATTAATCTTATGTCATGAAGAAGTATATAATGCATGTATTTTAACGGCAAATACTATTGGATACCGTTGCAGTACGACAGGAAAACAATCACTAGTTTTACTAATACGACAGTGGAGTACGATATCTTTACGATATCATCATCAACACGTGCATCTTCAAACTTGTAATCTCTTAAATAACTAGTTTGCTAGATTTCCATGTAATCTTTGTACTTAAATATTGGATATCATAAGATTACTGAAGTCATCGTCAATCGCATTAACATTTCTTTGCAGATACTAAACACCTAAAATATAGTATGATGACTACATAGTAGTGACTATAGCTATTAGTTGCTTTTAAGATTATATGCAATTATACATTGAAAATTGCAATAGGCGGCGGTTATACGTTAAGGTAGAGGAAGCATAGTGTTTTATAAAGTAGTCCATATAACCCTTAACAAAAAAGACCACATTTATTATTCTATTTTAACTGCTCACAAAAATGTTAATGCATAGTAAGTATACCACAGCACATAAGATATATCTTGCATCGATCTAAGCATCTAAGTTTTGCATAAATACTGTCGCTATAGTAATAATTTGCAATTTATGTATCAATAGTACATGTTTATGGTAAATTGGCAATGCAAGACTCGTACGTATGTTATATACTGTACACAGTAGAGTAGAGTAGTGTAGTATGGTATTAGCCTTTTATCTAGTCGTTGTACAATGCTTAAATTACGGCATAAATTAGTATTGCACTACGAAAAAAAGCAGCGTTAAGCATATACGAGTAAATAGACTTGAAGGAAACGGCTACTCAGCAGTCTTGCAGATGGGTGTATCAGATTAACCTTCTAAGCGATTTATGACCTGGTCATATTGTACAAGAGCCAATGTATGACTGAGTACAGTATAGTACAAGCGGATAGATTTTTAAAGTCCATATTGTGCGAGGACCCACAATCAACGGGTTATGTTGAAGCATGTTAAATCAAATATCGCTTTTAGATGACAATTTAATTACCATAAATGATACCTGAAAGCAGTGATCATGTAGACTATCTCGATGTACGCGTAATTACTACTGTTTTTGATCATACAAAGACGAATTAACTAACCCACGTGGGTAAAAACTCATAACGAGGCTACATACAATAATAGTGCAATAATTAGTTTGTGAGCCCTATCAAGATTAGTTTATACTATTGACGATGGTATTTTATCACTGTACAAATGCGGTCGTTTATCCTAAATCACTGAAGTATAATTATTCCAACAAGTAAAACACACATGACTATTTAACATAATTAGTATGTATATTCGTATAAGACAGTCAAGTAATAAGCACACATGTCACGCCGAGTGTACGTCTAACTCCTGTTTGTATTTTTAAAAATTTAAGCCAAATACAGTATATAAACAATCAAAATTTTGAGTAGTATCACGTTTATTTCGATGTAGGTCATGTAAAGTGATACAACGGTTATCATGGCTGTTGTTATAAAAAAAAAGTACACGTACCAATTGGTAATAGTACCTAATCGTGCAATATTAATTGACAATTGAATAGTTTCAACTTTGCGATCATGGATCAATCTATCACTGACTGCATGGTATGGGTATATATATCTATTCTAGTTTGTTTGCCGGCACAGTACTGTACTGGCACAATAATTCCTTCATCTTACCTGAATTAAGACACTGTCGAAGACTTTTGTTAATTCATCCAATTTGGTACAGCTAGATTTATAGAATTGAGCGACTCCTAGATTGTGACAGACTTTGGGATCATTTTGACGAATTTCTAACAATTCATTGATTGTTCGTAAACATTCTTCATATTTACGAGAATGAAATTGTAAGAGCGCCTTTTGAGCTAATACTCTTTCATCGTCTATTCAATCATATAGAAAAGAATATGATAATTTAGTCGAGGAAATAGCCTCAATTCAATTACCTTTTACAGTAGTCAAGTGTCTAAATTGAGTGAATAGAACTGATGTTAACATAGTATCCCCCCCAAAATACTGAAAGTCAATAGAAGCTAGCGGCGCAAAAATAATCAATCACCTAATTCCATTTTCATCGATACTCTATAATAGCTAGAATTGTAGCGATGATATTGTATAGAAATAGATACCTACTGCCTATTCTAGAGTTAAGAATATTGCATCAAGATGGACTTCTCGTATATATAGCGAGTAAGCGGTGACCTTATCTTCATTTAGCTATGATATAGGTCTGACTACCATAGGTAATAAGCGTATCTTGCACGTTGTCTCTAGACTGTACTGTCTCTGTACAGTATCGCTTTGCTAATAGCCACTATCCAAAGACTAAAAAAGTACGTCTATGTCGATGACATTGGTTTCTATGCTGATTTCGATACTCATGCAAACACAGTATAACAGACAAGTATTTCTATTTTAGGGTATTCATGTTATAATGGCACTAGAGCTAAAAAAAATTCATAAGGAAACGTGAATAAGCTCTCGATTCGTCTAGCTAAGGTAAATACTATACACCGCATGACATTTCATTGACAAAATACACAAGGAATTGACAGTGTTTTTTTTTTTAAAGTTAATCAAATTTACCCGAGGCGAGAATTCCATTGGAAGAACGATCATTTTTGCCTTCTTTATGGTCTTCGCTATTAGCTTTAATACTTTCACTCATGCTCAAGTTAGTCAATATAGTTTACTCTTAATAAAAAAACGATTTTAATTCAATATTTTATGGTGGCTTGGATCACCACACAGCCAAGTTTTCGTTGTTACGTCGAATCGTAGAGGAAGACGAAGGCGTGCTATCGAACGCAAGCGCGTGTATCGTACACAGGCGTATGAGGTGAAGGAACTTCAGGTACAGTACAGTACGTACTGGACGATGTTTCGAAAGCTTCTAGCTAGATGAAAACATTACAGTACTGTACAGTACAGTACAGTACAACTACGGTACAGTATTGTACAGTACTGTACAGTACTGTACTGTACACCAGCGTTTTCTCTCTTTTAGGTGTCCTCACTGTACCGTACCGTACTGTACTGTACTGTACTGTACTGTACAGCAATCTACAGTACAGTACAGTACTATCTGTGACTTACTGTACTGTACTGTACAGTACAGTATGAGTAATATTGAGTACTGTATGTCTGAGCGGGACTGGATCGGGATGGACCGGATCGGTATCATTGGTCTAGAACTGCAGTAGACCTCAATGCTCCAATGCCCATTGACAAAGGCTACAAACACTCGAACAAGTTCAGTGCTGGTACAGTACTTGCATTTGAGTGTTACCAATAGTGCAATTACAGCTACGTTGGTCTTTGTCTCGTCAACTTGCAGTATTGCATTGGCGCCAATAACATGATGGCAATGATGTTGCAGTCTAAACAATAAGTTCTATACCAGGCACTACTGACAAGGAAGAGAGTACAGTACAGTAGTAAAAATAAGAGGCCGACTATTTTGCTGGTCATCTCAGCTAAACCGTATATCTGAAAGGATAAACTGGACCACTATCCATCATCTTCATCCTGTTTGCTGATTTTGTACAGTGCATGACTGTAGAATAACCAGAAAAGTGATAATCCCCTTATTATTTTGCACTGAATCTACTGTACGGTGTACGGCAGTACAGTATCACTTCCACGATTGCTCTATCCTCGTCTTTATCATGGTACCGTGCTGATGTCTGTCCATCCACTAAACCTTCATAGTTCATACTGTAACACTGACGAACTCCTATGCGTATTTCATGATCGCATTTGAATAGCATTTTTATTTATTTTATTTTGCAGTTGATAATTATAGTAATTGATCACTTTAAACTAAATTAAAGTCTGTAGACATATTATTGATCGACATTTCTCTTTTAATCAGACCTTTAAAATTGGTCATTTTACTCTTTCCAGAACGGAGTCTACCAGTCAGCCTAGTTGTTGTGACGAGTGTTCAACTAGTCATTTTTGTCCGTTTTAGAAGGCAATCACAACATTTTTGACGTCATCAGCATTCCCTACTAAAAACAATCAAGTCGTTGAATTTTTATATTTGTCAATGAGAATAGAGTACAGTACAGTCATAAGTTTAGGAACTCCAGGCTGATTTAAAAGATATCCAATGATTCAATTCGAATAAAATAATGAGCATAATCCAATGAATATGCAAAGCTAGCATTGAGCTTGAAAGTTGCAATCGCAACCAGTATACACTGTACAGTACTCAGTGGTGTGCTGCTGGACGTTGCTTGGTGACATGCGCAGTAGGAGAAATGAAATTTTGCAGTAAGATATTGTACTGTACCACTAGAAGGAGGAAAGTTTTCTTTTCATTGATCTTTCATTCAAGCGATCCGTACAGTACAGTACGTGACTTGGTGGACGAATAGTATCCACTACAACCTACAGTATTGTCTAGTACTGTACGCTTCTACTTCCAACAAAAGGTAAGGTGAGCGGGCGAGCAGGCCAGGGCAACATTCAGACAGCAGGACAACAGTACAATCTCGTAGATACAGTACACATGCATGGACCAATGTCTCTACTGTATCCTATACTGTCCTGTACTGTCCTGTACTGTATAAACGGTACAGTAAAGTACAGTACATCAGTACATACTGTACGCGCATAGAGCTTACGGAAGAGTTAGTACTGTGCTTGCTTGCCTGATGTGACCTTGATAAACTAGCTTCAAGGTAACTTGGTGACTTGTGCACACCACTATGCATCACACGAGAGACCCCTCGAGGCTCTAATGCATCATACTACTATAACGGTGTAGTCTACGCCCAAGGTGGTGCTTTTAAAGCGTGACGACCGCCCTGAAGCATCGATAAAAGGGTGGAAAGTACCGTACGGACGACGTCCATCACCAGTCTATTTGTATTATCCGAGTGCAGTAGAGTACAGTATAATAAAGCGTTTAGCTATTTGGAAATTTCTTTTCCTATACGTCAACTCTCTGTACTGTATTATAACCCTTCATAACCTAGCAATCCTACCGCCATCAAGGAGGGAAAAAATCAAGATTGATATCCTCACCAATGTTGAACACTTTCTATACTATCAGCAAATAACGTCCGAAGTCAATCTCACTTGCGTCACCTGTGTTTGCATATCCAAATCAAGATACGTTAGATAAAAATGAATAACGGTATTTCGATCGTCTTTTACGTCTGTGCCTTATCGGCTTGGATGATGCTATCGCCGGCGTCAGGTCAGTTGAGAGTGAGATATCCACAATTCATTTTTAATTTTTACTAGTGGACCAATTTGTGTTACCACTAGAATAGGATAATGGAAGTAATAGATGTTTTACCAAGCTTGATTTGAAAGTCAAATTGCACAAATAAAATTCCAATTTAGTACTACGGAAAAATGATGTTGCTGAGTATGCACTCAAACTGGCTGAACCAACGTCTTCTTTTCATTCTTTTGATATGCTATACTATCATCTGTATAAGAAGAAAGAGACACCACCTTTCATACAAAAGATGATACCATAGGGTAGTAGAGTAGAGAATCGTTTTTACTCCATGTGTATTGGCCATATTAACCTGAATTGATGGAAGACGATCATTCAAGCAATGCAATCTACTTATTGTCGTCTATCAAGACAGTATGAATGCTATGAACGTCGACTAGCTTGTAAAATATCCCACTACTTTTTCCCATATAACCCACACGACGACAGAGTGTAGATTCCAATTAGTACATGGGACGATAAATCGCTATTTTAGTTAGCGTCATCGACAAGTATAATCGCACCGTTATTGTAATTGTCTAATTGAAACAAGTCGGTTATCATATTTCTATTTTTTCCCCTTATTATTGAGTACGCCATAGCTCTTTGCTTGTTGCAACAAATACTCAATCTCATTACGCCTCTGAACTCCACCTCTGGAACAACTCTTACAGTTGCCGTATTAATATAGTATGATTAAAAAGAACCTGTCGGTACAGTTTGATAATTTTACTGTCATGTTGTAATAAAATTAAGGTAATAGAAATGGATATTAATAGCTAAAATGCATCATCGTGATTTAATGCCTAATTTGAAATTCTATTTTACCATACTACTCTATCTTATGAAGTATTGTAGCGTAATACATGCTAAATGCTATTCCATTGAAGTCCCTTTCATCCAAAATACACAGATACTATTACTCACTTCATCTTAATGTCGATACTAGCATACGCAGTCCACTATGATATTTCGGATTACTTTGTTAGTGACGTTATTAATCCTGTACATGAATCGTCATTAATGCTTACTGTATGGGTATACTGCAATCACCATCTTATTAAAAGGCCGTGGCCACCATTATTCCCGACCGTCTGATTCTATTATACCTTTACGTAGACGAACGTTACTCTATTATCATCATACTATCACGTATGAAATTCTACTTTAAATTGATATCGCATGAAAAGTCGAAATGGCCTCTACCATAAAATGATCTTTACATACGTCTGTGCATCAGATACAAATACTATTAGAATAATTATCGTCAAGCACTTTCCTAATTTTTTTTTCTTCTCTTTACTTTATCATTATTAATGTCTAACTACCATTAAACAGTAGCATATCCCTACTCTGGTCACCATCGAATAGAATAATACGAGTACACCAATATGCCTATACTGTTAATAAATGCTCTAAAACAGACATCTTGTTCTCTCAATATACCCCATTGGAGTCCTATAGTATGACATAAACAAGAACAACATGGTGACACACAAAGGGAAATCAGTGAGCGGTACATTCCTATTATTAATTACATTATTACTATACCATTCATCCATGCTTAAATACGTCCTGGCGATTTTTTCCACGGCATAAAAACTACACCACCAGCAGATTACTACGTGAAAAGTCTTAGATACAAGTCAAAAAGTAAAAGTTGTTGTTATATTGCTTTTGTTATCCTGTCATCGCATGTCGTAGTATCTTGTAGTAGAGTTGCGTAATAAAGCGACGAGTACTTCACTTAATGGAAATGATGGATACTGCATACTCTACTGTTGTAAAGTGTATAAAATTTATGGTTAAAAACGATAGATAATAAAGTATCAAGCATGACGATCCCTACACGATAGATACTTCTTTCTCCCTCCCCAGTATAAACTATCTATCTATCAACCGAATTACTAGAATAATAATGCCAATCGTCACACGAGTCAGTAAGTTTAGTTCATGATGCGAGCGAACAGACGACAGTAGATTAGAAGCAGGAACTTCTGAAACTACTCTTTCTTTTTAGGGTTTCAGTAGTTCCTGTCAGAAGTACCACAAATGTACAATTATACACATAACTAAAAATGAACTATCTAATGAGACGAATATAAATATAATAGCTACCTAATTTAGTGGACTATGACAATGTCCAGAAGTCATTACTGATTCTTGTATTTTGATTGATTGTCTATTCCCGTTATGTAAAATCGACGCAATAGAACACACTCATATCATTTCTCAATGATTTACTGGTTCACTTAGTCGATTTATTAATTATTACAATTATACTGTACTGGTAAGTGTATACCAATACTGGATGATTTACGGTTGGCTTACCCTGCAGCCTGGAGAAAAAATTTTTTTATTTCATGTGGAAAATGCACATAATACGAGCATACAGTATAATATAAAAAGGATCAATGAATAGTAAATCTATTCAACTCTCCAGAGCTGTAAAATATTGGCTATGCCTAGACAACGACGATATTATACTGTGTACATTGAATGCAATACAACAAAGGCTTTTTTAACGTAATAAATTTTTGTTCAAAAATTGGATCACGCTTCACAGTCAAATACATCAAAAAGAGAATATGCAGATTTGCTCCATAGCTATAAATAACTCAATAATTTACCAGTGATTATGAATGACTTGCTATTATTAAACATTCCTTCCCCATGTAGTTAACTAACGGCACTGAAATGAATAAGGAGAATAAATTTTCTCTTCTGTTATGTGTCCAATTGAACCAGTAGGAAGCTCTATAGCGCTGTAGTCAGTAAAAATATCCAATGCATGGCAGTACAGTGCAATGCTTCTGCATGAATGACGTCTTTACCAAGTATGCAATAGCAACTGGAGAATAAATTACATATACGTATCGTCATTTATCACACCATGCATCAATTGAATTTGAGATGGAAGACAGCGTAGTATAAAGTATATCTACCGAATTTTTTTCCCCAATATAATGTAAACGTTCAGTAATTACTTACACGGTATATTTTTCTTATACCTGGATATGATATACTACACTAATGAATACTGTCCTGCTGTATCGCTAAATTTTACAACTTTATACCGTATTACTGAATTACGTATACTCTTCTGACAGTATACACAATGCTATTAATAAAAATGATTCCTAGCCTCTTAGAACAACTATACGAGTTACACTCACCTTAGGGTACGAGTAAATCATAAAATCAGAAACTATCAATACACCACAACTATGATCTGTCTGAATGAATTTGGTGCTGTTTGTATAATTAATTTTTTGTCACTAAAAAAATCGGTATCTTTGTAAGTTTGACCAATTGCTAAATTTCTAAATTGTTAAAAGTTAATTCATATTCTTTTTTCTATGTTCTCATAGCAATCCAGCCGGTGGGCAGTACAAATTATACGTTATCAAGTTTCGGAGGCAACGCAACACTATCTTGCAGTTTTTCTTCGAACACCAGTGGATTAACCGTTGTTTGGACACGCAATAATGTCCCAATCACTTTTTCACAAAAATACGAGATTATAACTACAGAAGAAAATGGAGATGCTATTACAAGCAATTTGACCATAACTAATAGCAACATAACTGATGCTGGTCTGTATACTTGTAGGGCTACTGATCAATCACAGGTGTCCTACTCAACCATTGTTTCGATTTTAGGTAAATAATACCATATAATAGCACCACTTAATTTTTATTATATTATCCTATGGATGTTTTAAAGTAATACCTTTATTTTAAAATTAGAAAGTTAAAAAAATTAAAAGCATTACTAGATTTAAATTTCTTTTGTGCTAGTAGGATAACTAAAATGGTTAAAAAATTTTAGAAATACTACTTCTAATTAATATCACCCTCTCGTGTATCAGTTGTTAAATGATGACTAATTAAGTAAGCATATATTGACAATTTTTTCTATAGTATTACTGTCTGATTTTTCAATCGTGAAATCATATCCTTAGCTACAAGATCTTATCAAGTCTCTTTATTAGCGAGACAGTTCATTTTATCCTTCTTTACCTTAACTAATATTAACAATGTAACACTACCTAAATTGTTAGAAGGATTCCAGCGACGATTATTTCAATGACACTATTGATGACTTGATTTCATGTCAACTTTCTTTGATTCATTTACAGTCAAACCACTTCAACTTGGAGAAATAACTGACTTTCAAAGGCTAGTTGTAGGGAGTAACGCCAGTATTACTTGTCGCATTCAAGCGTATCCATTACCAACATTGACATGGAGGAAGGGAAATGTAGAACTGTCCAATAAAACATATAACGTTTCAACATCTCAATATAATATGACTACAACATTATCTCTAGCCAATCTTAATTATACGGATCGAAGCTTATATTCTTGTATATTTATGAATGAAGCTGGCAATCATACAGAGACAGTTGATATTCGAGTCATGAGTAAGTAAAATGAATCAATTCTATCTTTGTATTACTAATGTAACATTGTACATTTTCAGAGAATACACAGTATTATAATTACATCGGAATACGCCATGGCTAGTCTTAATAATACCCTAGTACAATGTTATTAATTCGTATTATTATATATACCCGTAGATATATTTGCATATATCGGTAAATATATGCAAATCACAAAATGCTAGGGGACTACTATATTTCGAATAGAAGACTTAATTTTAATCGTTAATACAAAGTTTGCTGAAAGCTGATCGGATTTGTACTGATAAATTTCCTGCTACCTTCATCCCTACCTTAATTAAAATTAACCAATCCAAAATCTTGGAACTATCCAAGAATGCAGTCATGAGATAATTATTTAAACAAACAAACCAATGGACGAGAAAAGTAGAACATTACAATTTTTATATCTAAATTAATAATTACATATTTATTGATTGATTGATTGATTCTAACAGGCAATCTAGCACCACTATGGCCCGCATTAGGCATCATATGTGAACTTGCTCTGGCAGCTGTGGCTTATTTAACCTATCATGGAAGGAAAGCGAAACTGTGATTATTATTTATTCTTTCCTAAAACCTTATTTTGTAATTAATATGATAGCTATTTACAGCATTAATTGTATGTATGTAAGTTTCTTTCCTATATACTAGCAATATTTTATTACGATACAAAATTGTTCGCATTATAAAACCTTGTAGTTGCATTTTATCAAATAGCAAATCTATCTTATCGTAACTAATTTAAACATTCTATAGTTTTCTGACCTCTTTTGATCACGTCTGATTATACTAAAGAGCTAATTTTTCTAGCAGTTAATTTTAAAGTTTCAATGTTTTTTGATAACTTGATATCTATTATAAATGACAGCACGATATGTAATTAAATGGGATAATATCTTCGGATCGCAATTAGTGTAGTAGTCAATTTCATACGTACAGTATATACGCTTGCATTATAATTTTAAGTTAAATTATCCATTTTCTTAAAACCTGTAGTCGAATTACTGCAAGATGTATAGCTTAACAAACAACACCCTGTATGCTATACAATTTAGCGAACATTGTACGGTTTACAGTTTGAGTATTTGCATAAGCAGCAATTCTATTATTATTGTAAACTACTATAATTGTGCATACCACCTGAATACGCTTAAATTTCTTAGCGATATTCGAAATCAGCTGTTATTTAATTTCGTTACTTGAATTCATATTCTTTCGTGTAAAATACAATCACTTGTTAAGTATTCTATCCTAATCAGCAGTCTTTCAAAATTTTATAAAGTAATAATTACATTAGACCGATCCAATGATACGAATATGAATATTTCACTAATGTTTGCGTGTAAAGATCCAATGTTAACCATACGCAGAAATGATTGAGTTATATTTGGATTTATTATTATTTAGAATTTTCTATGTAGCTATTAAGATTTGGTATCATATTAACTGTAAAAATATGTACGACATGGTTTTACAGAAATAAGATATTAGTCAAGATATACTGATTAGCCATGACCAGTCGTAAGTTTATGTGTATTTGGATTATAGTGATGTAAATGTATCTACAGTATGGTATTATGTATGTAGTCCATAGACTACTTAATGTTACTAGTACGAATTCCTATCATGAAATCTGTTGCAAGACGCACCCGCAATAACTAATTTCTTACCTTAATAAATGTTAATTTTTCTACATCTTTCATGACTATTATCCGTTACAAACCCAATAGCATATGGTAGGAAATATCACCCTGTCGTTTACTAATATCACGTCATCCATCTATCTATAAGAATTTTTCTATAAATTTTGGTGCACGTCGAGTATCTTCTCCTAATAATCTCCGTATAAATACCGCCTTTCACTCATGGTAGAAAATATCACATCATTTGTTATATGTACAGGTGAAAAATTGCTTGACTTATTTGTATCCAAAATAGGAGCCATTAACTCCTGTAAGTTGATTCACTCTTGATAATCCCTAATTCATATTTAATACACTGCATGCTTTGTGATGAAAAAATTATGGTTATGTTAACTAACTATATTTAACTGAACGCTATCCGTCTGATTGTCACTGCTGAAATATATATATATAGTAATACTGATTTATTATACTAGGTACGAAAATATATCCATTCCTTGATACTTTCATTGAGTAAGAATGTATTGCAATACAGAACCACATCTGTTATTTATTATAATCCATCTAAAAATGCAAGTATATTACCATGAAGTACATGAACTATTATTAATTTTTATAGAATTATTCGAAATGATAACTCTAATTACAACTTAATAGCAATCTTTGATTATTCCAGATGGTAAATACAAAACTCTGTTGGTACACCCATACTTGCTTGATATATTTAAATAACATTAAAGGAATTCTTTCTAAGATAACAGTAATAATTACGACATTGATTTTCTAAGCTAAGAGCAAATTACAATTATGGATGAAAGGCTAATATAGAAGAACCATTAGCAGCAATTTTGCTTATGCGCCATCATAGCTATCATACTATTGATCTCTATTGATTTACACTCGTTTTATGGACCTGTACAGTTTTGAAGTTTCCACATCGCATCAGCATATACTACTCGTTAATGACTATACACAATATTTCAATATCATTTATGCAACGATTTAGAATGTTCCACAGCAATAATTATTAATAATTAATTACAAATGAAGTAAATAATGTTCTAACCCAATATGCTCAAAGAGAAAGTATATATCAAAACTAGTTTCATGAGGCAGAAACAAACGATCGTGATATTAGTAGTCTGTTGGGAGATACATGCATGTATATATCAACAATGCGTTACTTTTTCTTCTTCAGCTCTTCAAATCTTCGGGTAAGATCATCAAAATCGACATCATCTCCTCCAGCACTGTTCTGTCCAACATTAGAATTTCCAGGTTTTGTTGATGGAGCGGTAGGTAAACTGCCGTTAGGTACAGACGGCAAGTCAGGCATGTTATTATTTTCAGGATGCATTGGTACATTTGGCAGAGCTGTATAGAGAATAGAACTGTTAAGAAGATCTTTACCTGTACAAAATAATATAAAAAATTCCATCGATTAATGAAAGATATGAACTTTTCCCTTACTTGCATGTTTCCTAGGATCTTCATAACTAGGAGGTCGCTAAATCAAAAATTATGCTTCAATTAATAACAAATTTAAGATCTGTTGTTATTGTCTACATAAATTTTACTAGTAATAACTATTTCAGCATGTGTGCAGAATATACAGTGGAGTTTATCGTAAATCTATATTTACAAAAAACTCAGTGATGATAAATAACAGATTTGAGGTGTCTAAAAATTTGGCCCTTACATCTGCCGGAGCAGCTACGTTATTATAATTAGCGGGTCCAGGAAAGAATCCAGGAGCATTATTAGTGCCCTAAATTTTAAGAAGGTATTTCAAAGTTTAAACAATGCCATTATTTTTAAACCGGATCACAATCCTAACTTGCTACCAAAACTACTATAAAATTTAAAGCAGATCACTACCGCTGGTGGGTAAACCATATCATTCTGATGCGTTGGATACGGTGGCTGTGATGGATACTGTGCTTGATGAGCCTGAGGCTGAAGAACTGGTGGTTGTGGCATTACTGGCGTATTCATTTGGGGTGGTAAAGCATGGCCTCCTCCACCGCCACCGCCACCATTGGGCTTATGGTCATTATCCTCATTGGTCGATGGCAATTTTGACATTAAATCGTCAACAGTGGGAATTCCCGCACCCTATCATTAAATCAATGTTTTGTTATATAAATTTTTAAAGTAATAGAAGTTAAATTAACTTCTAAAAAGTTCGAAACATAGATTTGTAATAACAACTAGTGATATACATTGTAGAAAATTTAAGCGTATAAGACATAGCGTCAATATGGGTCCTGACGCAAATTTGCAACATAAACATGAATATTTTCAAAGCAACTATTCATAATAATAATAATGAAATTACCGCTAAGACAGCAGGGTCAGGCTCGTAAGCAACGTTGTGAGATCTTGCAATTTCCACAATATATTGTTCAACAAGCACTGCTGGAGGACCATGAGGGCTTAATCTTTGTATTAGCTGCGTAATTAATTGGAGATAATGTAATATTATTATCACTACCGTCAAAAATTCACTAACAATATAGAAAACATCCGTATACAATGTACAATTTTTAGTCACAGCATAGTGTAATGTACAGTATTCTTAACCCAATCTATGTAAGTAAATACAACAGTTAAGACATGCATCCGTACTAACATGTTCATTAACGTAACTATCCGCATTTGCCCTAGCATCTTCCGCAAATTTCTTACCAAACTTGATACCTAATAATTCACTAACCTATAACGATACAATATGTCAAGTTCAGTTTTTAGCCTTAAATACGTATAACAAGGATGTGAATGGAGTGATGCTATTTTCTATTCATAGGCATAAAGTAACAAATATAAATACGAGATTTACGTTCGTAGCACACACAATATATCAATAAAAACTTACAACTCGCAGCTCAGCAACGTCAGATGCTAAGCGAGGAGAAGCCCAAATTAAAGAGCAAACGGCAGTTAATAACCCCTCATCACAGTGCCTAAAGACAAGTTTTGAAAAAATTCGTAAATAAAGCTTGAAAATTTGATACAAATATGTTAATGCACAATATAGAAATAAAATTTTAAGTGCGATACAATTAAATATAATAGTGCTGTGTATTGTTGTCGAGTATTTTGATTTTTTCAAGTGATCTGATCTACAGTAACATTAAAATCAATTTGTTGGTCAAATTTAGACCACTGCAAACAAGAAGATCACAGCAGACAAATGCGTCAAGCGATTTCCGTAACAAGAACTTTTCTACATCTTGACACTTTTTAACCAATGTAATAGTAACACGATGTAATTACATAAAGCGAAAACGTTATAAACTTCATCTTCTCTACTAAAATTTATCAAAAAGCAGGTATGGTATAGAGACAACTCAAAATCTATCCGTTCCTACTTCATGCTCTCTAAAAGACCAAATCTTGCTAGTAGAAGGTCACAGTATAATTCAACCAACTCCATAGCCTCAACTAAATAATCTTCTCGGATGATATGTTCGACCTGTAAGCAAAATAAATCAAATCAGATTCAATAGTACAACAATGTTAAACTTACAATATCAATTCTAATGTAAATAGTATAAATTTCAATCATAGATAAATTAATCCAAAAGGGATATGAATTCAAATCCATTTCAATTAACTTAGTTACTCTTCTAATTTGGATGTATTTACTAAATTTGGCCTATTTTGACATGCTTGGGCATAGTGTAGAGGACATGCGTATAATTAATGCAACTGTTTATAGTGAACTTACATTTTTAAGTTATCCAATATCTTGTGACAAGATAAAGTAGAGTAGATACATGCTGCTATAATGTAAAGTAGTATTAAACGAAGAATCATGTAAAGCTAATTTACTTACGCGAATTCTGGCTCTTTCATACTTTGCATTAATCAGGTAATCGGCTATTTCTTTGCGGGATTTCTGAGCCATTTCAGCTGAAATAGCACCAAAAAATTAGATCAAGTAAATCGTACGAAGCAAATATTGTAATATCACAAAAGCATGAATAAAAATCGAGCAGTAACACAGGAAAAAAAACTGGGCGTGTGCATCGGTAGACAATCTGTGAGGTAATTTTAGCTAAATTTACGACTGGTATATCATTTTACGAATCGGAAAAGAAAATGCATTGAATTATATGATTAACTGCAAGAAACCAAATCCTAAAGTACGATCATTGATTTGCTAGCCACACGGTACAACACAATCCTACTGTGTGAATGTACTCGATATTCTTAGGTAACTCACTATATAAGTGCATAACATTAAAAGTACTGTCACTACATACCCGTACAGCAAAGAAAGTACTAACTCGATAACAAACTCTAGTCGGTTAAAGGCTTAGAAATATTGCAACATATAAAACAACATACGCGTATGGCGTATTTTAAAATGGCGCATGATATAGAATATCAGCTTCCATGGTACATATTCTGAGGTTACAGAAACGACTGATTTAGTTGAGGTCCCCAATTTAAAGACTGGTAACCGATATGAATTTACGCGACGTGCATTATCCTATAACTAATTTTCAAGAATAACTAATCTAGGTTAATAGGATTAGATGAACTGTTTTATTATACCTATCTAACTATATTCTTTTCAAGTTGAATGAAAACAAGAGTTGACGGATGGTAAGACAGTAAAATTTATGAACTGAAACAGAACTGTCTACGTACCTGTATATCAAGCGTACACGACTATACTGTATACGTCATTGCAGAACTATGACCAATGTAGGTAAATTTGAAGTAAATCACATCTATTTTCACTAGTTATTTACAGTACAGATATACAACTACATCAGCGCTTTACCCTAAACCAGTAAATTCTGTAACACTGTAGTCAGCAAGTATTGAAAGCATGACAAAACAATGTAATGTTAGCTCCATCCAAGTCAAAAAAACATTGGATCAAGTGCATTAGACAGATCCAGTCAATTTTTAGACTATATCATTTACAAATAGGCCAGAATGCTAATCTAAACCTGTCTATCATCAATTTTGTACAGTGTAGCAAGAGAACTTGGCAAGGTGGAAAACATTGATGTCCAATATTAGTGTGTAAGTAGCAATATTTATGCAGGAGGATATTGGTTATACTGGTATGGCAATTGTCATTCTATGTGTATAAATGGTGATCATTTGTGAATTTGTAGTAAAGCACAGATGATTTGATTTCCGATTAAACACTCTTGCCTATTGGTGTTAGTGAACTATTGAGTCTGATCCAGGTATCCCCTTGCATGATGATTAGTTCATATTACAGCAAGTCCTCTTGAAATAGTAATATGGATGTTGCATTGTGCATTTCAGTATTGAGATAAGCTACTGTAGAGTCTGCTAACAAGAAAGTAAACACCTGCAATCAAATCGATTGGAAGTACTTTACCTATAAGCCAATATGGAAGTAGTCACTTCAAGCTCAAGTACTGTACAGTATGTTGTATTACAAGATTTAAGATTGATGTGGAGATACTGTAAGACAAATCAGTGTTGAACGCTAACTACGCTCCATTTTAGTTTGTCTAACTGCGTACAAGTGGATAGGTTTTCTTGGATGGAGTCATTGCAATGGTTGAATTGATCTCAAATTTATGTTATTCCATCAATGCAAAGAGAGGCTACAGTCATTTCATGGCAAAATGGAAGGAGAATATTATTGATTGAGGGAGGGACTGTGATATAAGTTATCCAAGATGAAGAAGTTGAGCATTAACAGTGGATGCAGCATTTGTAGTCATTGTGGGTCAAGTTGTAGTAGAGTAGGTGATTGATTATCCAGTGGATTACTTACTTTTTTTCTTTTCCAATAACTTGAGTCGGTTAATAACCAATCTAAGGTTTACTCGTAGTTTTTGTGGACGCCAAGAAGCCTTAAACATGTCCAATTTCTATTTCTTCAAAGTTGTCTATGGCAAAGGAATGGCTTAATTTTTAAAAAGTGCAAGGATATTTTCTCCAAGATTCCGGTCGTGATGTAGCAATGGCGATATCCAACTTCCAGTGTGCAATCTGACCAGGCCAAAGCATTGGAGATCTTATTTATCTCCCCCCGTACTGTACCCACTATACCATATTATCTACTGTACGATACGGGTGCTATGCCATTCCACTCACTCTTCCCCGTCAACAATCGTCATGTATGAAAAACAACATTGACACGGGACGGGGGTGACCCGATTTTACCATCATGTCATTATTGTAATGTTTCTATTTTAAGATTTTCTGATCATTGATACGGACTGCAGTACGTACAGAACAGGACTTTCTTGTTGCTTACTATTGTACAATGTACAGTACTGTACTGTACTGTATGTCCGGAGTGACTACTGTAGTGTAGTCAACTACAAGAACTGTACTGAGTGGACAGTGCAGTATATCTGTCACCGTGTCACACGTATCGATGACACCGCTGGTGAATGACATCATCAACCATCCATCAATTCATACAAGAAGCACCAGTCACTCCGTCCATCCATCTCTACACTTTCGCTCGCTGTGACCAAAATATCGAATGCAGAGCGCAACTCACTATATTTTCCGACTGTAGTCAACTACAAGAACTGTACTGAGTGGACAGTGCAGTATATCTGTCACCGTGTCACACGTATCGATGACACCGCTGGTGAATGACATCATCAACCATCCATCAATTCATACAAGAAGCACCAGTCACTCCGTCCATCCATTTCTACACTTTCGCTCGCTGTGACCAAAATATCGAATGCAGAGCGCAACTCACTATATTTTCCGACTGTAGTCAACTACAAGAACTGTACTGAGTGGACAGTGCAGTATATCTGTCACCGTGTCACACGTATCGATGACACCGCTGGTGAATGACATCATCAACCATCCATCAATTCATACAAGAAGCACCAGTCACTCCGTCCATCCATCTCTACACTTTCGCTCGCTGTGACCAAAATATCGAATGCCGAGCGCAACTCACTATATTTTCCGACTGTAGTCAACTACAAGAACTGTACTGAGTGGACAGTGCAGTATATCTGTCACCGTGTCACGTATCGATGACACCGCTGGTGAATAACATTATCAACCATCCATCAATTCATACAAGAAGCACCAGTCACTCCATCCATCCATCTCTACACTTTCGCTCGCTGTGACCAAAATACCAAATGCAAAGCACAACTCACCGACTGTAACACAGTACTGTACAGTGTACAGTACTGTACTGTACACTGTACAGTACTGTAGTCACTCTGGACATACTGTACTGTACAGTGTACATCTGTCACGTATCGATGACACGGCGATGCGGTGAATGACATCATCAACCATCAATTCATAGAAGAAGCACCAGTCACTCCATCCATCTCTACACTTTCCCTCGCTGTGACCAAAATACCAAATGCAAAGCACAACTCACTACATTTTCCGAAAGCTATACTACTTTCGTAGACTAAGTTGAAAAATTTTGAAGAGAGCAGACGTATCAATAATATAGAAAAGTACACACCACATAGACAACATTGATACTAGTTTACTGGCCATAGAGACAGGCAAATTTGGACGATCATTCAGTAAAAACGTAGCATGAAGCCATTGCAAGTGAGCATAGCGAGGTCGTTGACGGTGTAGTGTCACTAGTGTGGGGTGAGTAGTCGACGTACTGTACCACCGTACTGGACGTCAGAGTGAGAAAGTCGTGCGTTCAATTGTTCTACTGCACCTGTCTAGTGTCAGTAACGTCAGTAACAAACGGACGTGACGCCACACTCGCTACAACTTCTTCCACACACTCGTCCTGGGCCAACCACAAGTGATTTCAATCGATTTTGCTGCAGCAAACGTCAATTGATCAAAATGGCTGCGATGAAATATCTGCCCTTGCTTGTTCTATTATTTCTTCACCTACCAATTCACTGCTTAAGTCAATCTCATGAAATGAAATCATTTGATGCAAAGCCAAACGGCCAGTCAACAACAGTGGTCACTAAATTGGTAAGTACTGGAGAGGAAACCAATTTGACACTGATTTCAAAACTCTTGCTTGCAGGCTGCAGCTATGGCTGGTAACCATGGTACCATGGATGATGCTACTAGTTCATATCTACCTCGCTTAATGACGATTTTACTGTAGATCATAACTTGGAACTGACTAACTTTCTTTCCAGCCAAGCAATATTGAACATCAATGTGCCAATAGACTATATTCGTTAGGCTTTACTGCAAGCCTTGACGCAGTCCAAAATACTTCTACATGTCATTACAGCACCAACACTCAATCTAGACTCAGTCAGAAAGTAAAATACACGACAAACCTATGGACATGTTGATTGATAGACAGCACAGAGCAACACAGCAGCTATCATTTACTTTTCCAGATCAATTGTGTACTTTACATACTCCACCCTAAAATGGACTCGTATGCAAATAGATCCATGTACCAATTTCAGCTAATTATACTGGTAGCATGTATTGAAAGTGTATCCTAGTAATAATAAAGTAAAGCACCATGTCATGTACAATAGTCGCTGTATTTAATCGAATTATAGATGATGAGTGGTATCATGAAACGGTGTTCTTATATTATTTGCAAGAAGTTGCAAAATCCATCCATTACAATTCCCATAAATAACGCCTGTAGCGACGATACAATAAACGAACCTAGGTTAGGTTAGCTTTTTTTAGGATTCAATTCAACATTTAAGACTGCTTTAGATCAACATTATCGATAGACAACGTATATTGTGCTAATCCAATTAAGATTCGCTACTCTCTTAATATGAAGACTACTCGTCAAGACCCCTAGCAGAATTTGTTACTAGACTAATAATCGCTCCTTAAATCTCACTCCAACCTGTGTATGTTGTCTTGAATTAATTCAAAGACAGAATCTGTAACATCGATCAATGCAAATACATACATTATATACCTTACAGTACAACAACGTTCTAATCATAAAGTCTTCCATATTCAGTCAAAACCTTCATAGTAATATTGAATATCAGCCGCATATCATGCTAATAAGCCTGCGAGTGAAACCTCCTGTGGACCACTAGACAATTCTATGTGCTTTTTTAATTCATCTGCTAGTATGTTGCAAAGCAATCAACCACAAGTGCTATCACTGAATGCTGTAGAATCATTGCAATACAGTATAATCTACTATAAGTGAGTTATACCGTCGTCTCAATGTAGCATGAATACGATATGCCAAAAGTATCCATTTATCTTCTTATAATTCATTGAAATGCCTTATTCTCAATTCTGATATTCTTCGTTAAATAATATCTCTAATTTTCAATGTATTTCATAATTAGGAATCAATCCAGTGCCAATTTACTTTTGCAGTAGTTGGAGGGACTAATGAGGTAATACTGCTTTAATATCAACAGCTTGCATAGATTAATATATTGACATGTAGATTATTCTATTCTGTATAAAGCAGTCTATCTTAAACTACTTGTATGACGATACCAGAATAGTTAATGATATCGAACATGCATTATCTTTCTTTAATAAAAATGAAATATTTTATTATGTTATAGAACTGGGTTATGAAAGTATCTCGCGAGAAAGACGGCAAATATACCTGCATAGTAACCAGGTTCAGTAGCAAGCTAGAACGACTTATTGTGCTTATCACTATTTCGAGCTGATTTATCTCATAAAATGTCCTTTATTACTAGTCTGTTAGCAATAGTACCGTAGTAGCCAAAGAAATCCATTCGTAAATAACCAGTTTTACATGCGTATAATGATATCAATCATGTAAGCGTTACAATTTTAATCAATTTCAAGTTATTAATTCATTCTTAACTTCGTTAGACCGGATAAAGATTCTTACCTTGTGTTCATGAGCTTTCAACTAAAGGTGAAAGGGGGAAAAATTTCTAATGTTGAAGTATATGTAAGTTTGACTCCATGTAATATGTATTATAGTTGCAATACAATCAAAGTGCCCAACTAAGGTCACCTTAATACTCATAATCAACAATCTAAATTTCGTTTAGAAAGTGCATTATAGGGAGAATTTTTACAAGTACTTCAATTATAAATCTAATCTATTCTGTCTAAAAGCATACTCTGAACTACTTGTTAACATCTCAATTACCCAAACGAATTAAGAATCCGCGAAATATTACTAAATCTAAAACCTCTCTCTAGGATAAAGATGCTAAACTCGAGTCGAACACTTACGCAGTTACGGATTCTGTAGGTATGTTACCAAATCTAGAGTTCGTGAATGAACTACAACTTTCGCCAATAATACATACGCAACTTACGATAAATATTCAATCACTTAATAATAAAAGCTAACATTTTTTATTATCGTATTTTATTATAGTACAACACGCTCAGGGAAAATTTAAAGCTAACCTCAAACTTATAACTGTATCCATTTCCAAACATGATGAATTATAATTTATTTAATATTCTGTAATGACATATTTTTGCCAATTTAATCGATACAATTTTTAACGTGCTTGCACTATCGCGTATGTATCAATCGGATAGTGCTTATCAATATCTTACGTAAGTAATTTAATTATTATCTATTACTATTTCATAATCTGTCTTGATAGAAATTACACATATACAGGATGATATGTACTTAGTTTTCTATTCATTGTCATCGATGAAATAAAATGATAGATATTTTAGATCAATCATAGCTAAGAATTATGTGATTCAATAGTAATTATATCAGTTATTTACCAAAAGCTGCAAAATAACATGAAGGATCTACTGTGAAGATTAATTTTAACGGTAGTTGTCTAATTACGACTGAACGATGTAAAAATAACCAGTAATTCTAATAGAAAAATTTACAACTAAATGGTGTATGTCGAATCGGAGACAGGTGTTGTTTGCAAGCATTTATTTGTTGTGAGTATATACTACTTGCAGTAACATACACTAATGTACGCATAGAACAAGGATAGGACTACTATACTGTTGTAATTTAGCTTAAGGAAAATTAGTAAAATCGCAAGGTAATATCTTTTAGTATATGATTTTTGCCTTCCATAGCCTTTTAATACATGTCAACAATTTAGGGTTAATGCATTGCCTGCAATATAGACATTACCTGTAATTTTCAAATGGAGAAATGTATAGTATGTAACCACAGATTAGTATAATAAAAGCATATTTAAACTTCATCATTAATCCGTATCTAAATAGCAGGTATACCGAAACAACCCTAATAAGAGAAACATTAAATTTAAAAATCTAGACTAGCAATACGCAAGCATTTATCTATCAAAAACGAAAATAGATACCATTTTCGAGCATGAAGAATTTACACATTCACATTAGAAATCTAAATTTATATTAATTTTTAGCGTATTTCTCAGCAAAAATAGGGCCAAAAAGGAAATGAGTTCCACTGCTGTATTGATTAACGCGCAGATCTGGTGATACTAATTCATATTTACAATTATTGACTCTTTATAAATACCTAGCTGCTATCCCCCAAAACTTTTACGCGAAAAACATTCAAGTTATAGTTCTGCATAGCTTGATTGTCACCGATCAACTCTAACTGCTAGCTCATACTATTTCATTTCTAATTCAATCATCGCTAAAATCTAACATTATATAATAATGAAACTGTAAGCAACTAGACTCACTCGGTAAGCTTAGAAAATAGTTATTTCTAATTCTTATTTATTAAACTAATTTTTTGATACCTTCTTTGTCTAAAGTCTTTTACTTTAGGTTGGCTACATTAGTAGTATCTTATCTACCATATAGCCTAGGTTAAAATTAAATTGATTATTTATTTGAGAGGATTATCATCGGTACAAATTCGGTCAGCTTGCTTTATATTAATGTTGAATATAAATTTTAAAGTAAAAAGCTGTAATGGAATAGTATTTGATAAGCCCATATAGATTGAAGAGATGTAGTATTTCTAAGATTAACGATCCAATTGCTATGTTACAAGATACATTTACTAGTGCAATGTGAGGAATAAATTATGCTGGTATTTAATAAACATCCTGCGGGTATTTATTTACCATACAAGAAACTACACAATAAGCTCGCTTCTTCCAATATCAAGATAAAGTTTATTATTTCTATTCATTCAGCTAAAATTGTTAGTCTTGCCATAAATCGAAGGCATTGCTGCTTCTTATTATAATTATACGAAGTATTAAAAGTTGTCTTAGTTTGCTACAGGAAATATTAATTATACGCTTGATAGTAAGGAAATAACATGCATCGTAAATAATATTGCATGTTATCCATTCAATTATCTCAATGTGTACTTATGGTCTTGCGGCCTTATTATTTACTTTTGGAAATTAAAACAACGCTGTCTTTCTTCAATAATGCCTGTTGTTATAGTAGAAATGATCGATCACAATAATTAAGAAAGGGAAATGCAGGTTGAGAAAAATCGACTAAAAATTTTATAGCAACAAATAAAATTTAATTAATAATGATGGAAATGACCCTTACGGTAACAATTACCAGCGAAATATTACTGAGGGTAATTAATAAAAGTTATTATAGGAAGCAATATTTTTAATACGATTTTTATGTTTGGTCTAAATATCTACCTCTACCAGGTAGACGATCTTTATTTTTCAGGTATTTCGAACTTTATGATTCTATTAGAAAATCGTTGTAGATACTGGTAAAATATTGATAGGAGATAGATACCGGTATATCAATTTTAAACTAATTTTGTTACATTCAAGCCTTTTCAAATGAAAACTATTATCACCAGCAACGAGCATCTTGGAGAAGGTAATGAAGATCCCGGAAGTAGACTATGTATGAATAAAAATATGTGCCCGGATACGCAGTTCAGTTACTGAGATACAATTAAATAATTAATTAAATACTTAAATTCGGCACGTATCATTAGAAATGAAAATTTCTAGGGTGAAAAACATCAAAGTTTCCATTAGCATCGATTCTTATTACCATTTTATTTGTCTTACCGACAACAGTATATTTTTAATTAAAGTCTCATTTTTAAAGTGAAAGTAAGAAAAGTCTCGAGTAAATCATTATTATTATCAGACTAAATAAAAGATATAACAATATCCCGCCAACAACAATCAATAAAATTTCATAGCCTTGAAGTTTAATACAAAATCATGGTAAGATCTAACCATAAACCTACAAGAACTACAAAGAATGTGATAGCAACGCGACTTAAATCTAATTTAATAAGGCGTTAGCCGAATTATTCTAGTTGAATCGTTATTAATCATGTCAGTCAATTTTTTTATTACTGTTTACTAATTGTTCAGTTAAAAGTAACATTGGATCACTCTTATCCATAGATCTTTCCATAAATTAGCCTCAATCTTATTTAAAAACCTCATCCGGGATTTATCAATACCATATCAGGAGTATTAGCTCACTATCTTGCAGCAAATATGTCATTTCTTTACTGTTTAAATTACATATTATAACTTGTTCCCTTATCTATCTTAAAGGCAACCATATAAAACTCATATAAGGCATTCTAAAGCATGCATATTCGTATTCTATCACATGTTATACCGAGTATCGGTATTTATTAAACCTAATTTTAATTGCATATCAAACTAGGTGTTTTACTACGTTTAAATTTCATCTTCTTCGATACAAACAAATCAAATTGAGACCTTACGTATACATCAGGCCTCCGTTACATTCCCATCGACTTCTGCCACAAACTATTGATTTATATTTTATTAGCTCTCAGAAATCTTTGTCAATACTCAAGATGTTCTGTTCGTATCGCTATAAGAGTACATAATATCTAAAAATTACTCTAGATTACCTTGTCTAATCAATTATGTTGAAATATAAACATATCAATTCACTTCTTATTTATTATACAATCGCATTTTCAGTTTAAATGAAATTAATTTGCATTTAGTAATTTGGAATTTCAACCTTACCCACCGTTACATCGAAATGTTTTATTTAACTTATGAAATTCAATTATGTCGCGTACAATTCTTCTGTGGATTTTTATTTGTCTAAAATTTTATGATATAATAGCGACTTATGTTTACATTAGTACTTTACTGATTCTCTCATTTCTATCTGACATGGACACTTTGGTATTTAAACTTGATCACATCAATAACATTACTGCTAGTATCATAACACTAACAGCAGTATTCAAGATGCAACATAACTGCTTATTATAATTTCTAGCAGAGTATTAATTATTACTATCGCTACAGTTGTTGTTACTGTCATTTATGTGGCAATTTTCTTCTCAGAAGGTCATACCTATTAGTATTGTAGTCATTCTTGATCTTATTTTCCGGCTCATTAATTAAAAATTTATATAAAATGCGATACAAGTAATATAAAATTCATAAATTTTTTCAATATATAGCAATTTTTTCTCAGAAAATCAAGCCTGTTAGTATTGTAGCTTTTCTTGATGTCATCTTTAGCTATTTAATCAAAAATTAATATATTAAGTATCATACAAATCCTATAGGCTTCGTAAATTCTAATTTAAATCTATCTAATCGAAATAAACTTTGCTTATTTTATAGACATTACGTGAATGGTTCCAGTAATGCAGAAAAATATACTAAAGTATAGCATAAAAGCGAAAATTTATACTATTTGTAACATGCCAAAGTTTGATGAATACGCTTACATTTTACCAAAACAAATTTACTTTATTCGTAAATCTTAATTTCTTAATTTCAAGTTATTATAATTTATTATTAATAAAAAAATTTGAAGCTGGATTCAAAACATTGTACCTTTTATTGTTAATCCAACAACATTGAATAACACGTTTATATTTTGAAATAAAGATGTATTATGCATATTGAATTCTTTTAATTGATTATAACTATCTTATCTTCAAAATCTATCAATTAAAACTTGATACAATTGAACTAGCATTTTTTGATAGTTAATTAGAAACAATAATTTGAAATCCTTCGGTCTATTACGTAAATTATTTCAATAATGTCTGAGTAGAGAGAAAAATTATTTACTACATCCGTATTATTTCTTACCACATCGCAGTATGAAAGTAAGATAAAAAGTTTTTAAATAATCACTATAGAGGAACAAATGGTATATTCAGTCTGCTGTATCAATACCAAGGCGTCAAAATAGCAGTACATTGAAGTTACAATATAAAGATCTTTATATATGTATATTCTAGATATAAATTTCTTCTCTTTAATGACAGCAACGATACATTTTGATTTGATAATCTTTTATCTTCGTTGCTAGAAACAATCACTATTAAAAAATTTGCTATCCATGTAACCTAGATAATAACAAATATGAAACTATATGTCGTATTTTTGAAAGATCAAATTTTTTCCCTTATCAATATTACATTAACAGAAGTATAGTACGTATACTCATATATATATGAGAATGTTAGATAGTTACATATGAACCATAAATAACGCTTTCGTTATTGTATTCGAGAAATAAGCAAATTTTTTATTTTCTTAACTAAAGTTAAATATATAATTTATACTGACTAATGTTAATAAGGTCTAGTGCAAGGCAACACCGAGTGAAACTATCATGCTATTTAATAAGATATAAAAATAAATTAGAGTAATAGTATTTAATCATAACTTACGGTTAGTATTAATTTGCATATGCATCTTCGAATTTTATTTAACTTTATTTACCATCACCAGAACCTTATATAATCAAATAACATAATATGTAATAATTGAATTTTTGCATTTTTAAATGAAGTGACCATTGTTAATGAGAACAACGGACCCTTGTTTTTAACATAATCAATAGCTATTAATTATTATTTTTCTGAGTGGAATTTGGTGCTACTAAACTTTTTGAGTTCGTTAAATATCAAGCACGTTGATTAATACCAGTAATTATGATTTACTATCTCTTTGTGCTAGTAATAGTATAATACGATAAGGAAAGCATCACTAAGAGAATTTAATACTGATTTCGATAGACATTCTAACTTTTGCTTTTAGAACTAAATAATTGGATAAATTAATTAAATTCATATTAAGGCGGCGAAATATCCTATGCCTAGATCAAAACGATAACTG